TGTGTCGCACAGCTGGGGGGGGGGTTGCACACTCTGTGTGTATTTGCAGATTTCCTGCATTCATTATTTTCTGCCCTGCTTTCCCCCTCCCCCCAGCCCCGCCCCTTGCGTGCCATCCCCCGCCCGGGCTCGGGGCCAGCACCGCCCAGCGGCCCGGGATTTTCCCCCGTGATTGCACGCTGAGCTGTCACCCCCGGGCGCAGCCAATGGGGCGCCAGGGGCGGGGCTTGCTCCATTTATAAGGCGGCGCCGGGGTGACAGGAGCAGAACATCGCTCTGCGCCGTACCCGGGAATTAGCTCTGAAAATCGCGCTGCGCCCCAGCCCCATGAACGCGCTGTACGGCGCCACCAGCATGTGCTTAGCTTGCGAGCCCCGGATGCCCGCCCTGCCCAGAGCCGAGCCCCCCAGCAAGGGCACCGGCCCCCAGTACTTCACCTTCGACCCCCTGCCTGCGATGAGCGAGACCCCTTCCCGCAGGAACCCGGCCCGGGGCAGGAAACGACTGCGCAAAGTGCTCTACCCCCCCGTGGTGAGTCTGTGGGGCTGCCGTGGGAGCCGGGACGCCTGGGTTCTCTAGGGGGGGGGGGGTCTATTGGTTTAAAGTGTGTGGGGGGATTCAGGAGTGAGGGTTCACCTTCTGATCCCCCTCTCTGTGCCTCAGTTTCCCCTGCTGTAGAAGTAGGCTGCTGATGGCTCTCTGGGTTAGTCCCTGCTTCTGGAGAGAGGGCGAGGGTGGTGTAGCCTCTCCTGGCTGCAGGGAGCGATGCTGCCCCCTGGGCTAGTGGAGTAGGGAAGCTGAGATCTGTAGCCTAGCCCCCTTGCTGTGGGCATACAGACCAGTGCAGGATGAGTCACCCCATTGGACCTGCTGCTGCATGTCCCAGACAGGAGGCCCCATGTGCACGTCTCTCTGCCCCAGAGATCCCTGGCTGATTTGGGGGGGAGGGGGTCCTGTATGTGTCCAGGCTCCCTGCTGCTCACAGCCAGGGGTGATTCTCTTGTTAATCTGCCCCCAGCTGGGAGCAGTATGGGGCATATGACACATGGGGGGGGGCATCTAGATCATGCTTAGCCAGGCAACCTGAACCCCATTGCACTCAGCTGCTGAACCCACGCTGCTCCAGAAGCTCCAGTTGGTTTGGCGGAAGAGAGCATTGTGGGTAGAAGCAGAGCATTCTGGGTAACCGGGCTATCCTCCTAGCCACGGTTGCTGGGTGGGGGGCATTCTGGGTAGTGGAATTGCCTTGGGGCTGAGTGCCAGGGCATTCTGGGTAATCTGTTGGGCACGGGGCACATTGTGGGTAATACTTGGGTCCCTTGCCAGCCAGGTCTCTAATGTCCTGTCTCCTTCCTCCCGACCAGGTGAAACGCTACTATCCAGCCAAGGAGCGCAGCCAGGCCAAGCGCCTGCTCTTCATCCTCCTCACCATCATCTTCTTCCAAGTCTATAACACCGACGAAAACCTGGCCCTGGGGCCCGAGCAGGGGGTCCCCGACTGCTCTGTAGAGAGCGGGGGCTCCGGCTGCGAGACCCCCTTCCCAGAAGTGCTCCCGACGCCCCTGGAGGTCCCAGAAGTGGCCAACGCTACCAGTTTGCACGGGGGCCACGACGCTGCTGACTCCACCATGGAAATCAGCCAATTCCTGGAGCAGAATCCAGCCGCTTTCTGAGACCCCCACCCAGCCTTTCTCAGGCCAACACCTAAGGGGTCAACCCAGCCTGGGGCCTGGCTCCAGCCACTAATGGGTTAACTCCGCCTGGCCTTTGGCCAACTCTTTCTGCTGCTGCCTCTGAACTAAGCCGGTGAAGAATCCAGACGCTTGACGTCAATAGCAACGTGAAACCTCTTCGGCAGCCGTGAGCAGGGAATTCCTGGCTCCAGCAGTGACTGAGACTTTGTGTGGGGGGAGGGGTATTACTGACATAACTTATTAATATCTAATATTTATAATATTTATACATTGTGTAATTTAAAGATAGTGTGCTATTTAATGATCAAAGCGGAAACATGCCTGCGAGGAAAATGCTGCTTTAACCTAGGGTGGAATAAAACCGTTAAACGTCCTCATCCGTTTAAACAGGGACACGTATCTTGCTCTTGTCTCTAGGGGGACTTTAATTAATATTTATTAGTGCCGTTACCCAGGGGGAGAAACCCCGCTCGTATTGGTAGCAAAGCAGCCTGAGGCGAGGTGGAGCTGACTGAGGAATAGCTGGCTGCAAATCCCAGGGAGGTATAAAACTATGGAAATGCTCCTAGGAGGTGGGGAAAAACTTTGTGACGGCCAAATCTACTAGAATTCAACGCTATAGTTCTCCAGGGGGAGGTCAGGCTGGGTTGCTCTGTGGCAAAACAGCCTCTGCTCCTCGGCTCTCCTGTAAACTAGCTCCTTGATTGGGGCACAGAACGAAGGAAGTGCTGGTGCGTTGGGCGGAGGGAGAAGTTTGGAGGTTGAAAATCCAAATGGGGAATTTTCTGCCCCTGGGAGGAGGCGAGAAGTCAGGGTAAGACCAGCCTGCACTAAAGAGATGGCTGACCCCCTGCCCTTCCTTCTCGGACACCCCCCAGCTACGCTCCCGCCCTGGGTGTCTGAACAACAGGGTCCTTGGCTGCTGTGTATGCTTACTATGTAAGCTCTTGTGAGAGGCTCTGAATGCTTCGGAGACCCAGACTTTCCCCGAACTGCCCGAAACTCAGGCTGGTGTTTCCAAGGCGTTTTTGCCCCAAACTCTTTCCCGGACGAGTCGTCCAACCTGTGTATGTTCTGTGAACAAAATAAACCTGCTGAATCCTTTGGGTGTGTCTGATTTCCGGGGGGGGCAGGGGGATCCCACATCTTTTGGGGGAGGGGGTCGGCTGAAGGCAAAGCTCAACTCAGCTGGAGGAGCACAAGGGTCTCATGGTGCTGGAGGAGCAAGGAGATTGAGTTGGGGGAGGGGGCAAAGCTCAATTCAACTACAGGAGCATTCAGGGAGTGAGCAGGGGGTGGTCTTCACATGCCAAGCTCCCCCCACTTTCCTGCATTATATCAGCTGGATACTGTGCGAGACAGTCCCTGACTCCCAGACCCTCTCGGAGACAGGCCGGGACCTCGGCTGATGGTGGATCATGGGGGTAGGGCCTTGGGGGAAACTCTTCAGAGAGACTAGTCCATTTAATGAGGGAGGGGTGCAGCCCTGGGCAGGGCCGACAAGAGGCGGGGCGGAAGCTGGTACAAATTACCTGGGCCCGGTGGTCCGGAAGGGCGCCTGGCTTCTCTTCTCCCCCCCCCCCCCCCCCATCAGCCCTGTTTAGCTGGTCCGCCCTTGCGGGGGGGGAAGCAAAAAAATTTTTCACCACTGCCTGAACCCGCTCTCAGCGGCCTTGGCCCTGGGAGGGGAGTGGGGTCCAGGGGGTAAGAGCGGGGGGGTTGGGAGTCAGGACACCTGGGTTCTCATCCTCAGCTGAATGGTGGTGTTATCTATTCCTCCCGCCCCTCCATCCACAAGGCTTGTGACCTTTGACAGAGTAAATGGCCTTGGGGACAGAGGGGAAGTGGTAGACATGGTCTGCCTAGACTTCAGTAAAGCTTTTGATACTGTCTCGCATGACCTTCTCATACACAAACTAGGGAAATGCAACCTGGATGGAGCTACTATAATGTGGGTGCAGAACTGGGTGGAAAACGGTTCCCAGAGAGTAGTTATCAGTGGTTCACAATCATGCTGGAAGGGCATCACGAGTGGGGTCCCACAGGGATCGGTTCTGGGTCTGGTTCTGTTCAATATCTTCATCAATGATGTAGATAATGGCATAGAGATCACACTTATAAAGTTTGCGGACAATACCAAGCTGGGAGGGGTTGCAAGTGCTTTGGAGGACAGGATTAAAATTCAAAATGATCTGGACAAACTGGAGAATTGGTCTGAAGTGAATAGGATGGAATTCAATCAGGACAAATGCAAAGTCCTCCACTTAGGAAGGAACAATCAGTTGCACACACACACAGAATGGGAAATGACGGCCTAGGAAGGAGTATTGTGGAAAGGGATCTGGGGTCATAGTGAACCACAAGCTAAATATGAGTCAACAGTGTAACGCTGTTGCCAAAAAAACCAAATCTCATGCTGAGATATACTGTATTCGCAGAAGTGTTGTAATCAGGAAATTAGAAGTAATTCTTCCGCTCGCTGATTAGGCCTCAACTGGAGTATTGTGTCCAGTTCTGGGCGCCACATCTCAGGAAAGGTGGAAAAATTGGAGAAAGTCCACAGAAGAGCAACAACAATGGTTCAAGGGCCAGAAAACATGACTTATGAGGGAAGATTGAAAGAAATGGGTTTGTTTAGTTTGGAGAAGAGAAGACCGAGGGGGGACATGAGAACAGTTTTCAAGTATGTAGAAGATTGTTGTAACGAGGAAGGTGATAAATTGTTCTCGTTAACCTCTGAGGATTGGAGAAGCAGCAATGGGCTTAAATTGCAGCAAGGGCGGTTTAGGTTGGACATTAGGAAAAACTTCCGAACTATCGGCGTGGTTAAACTCTGGAACAAATTGGCCAGGGAGGTTGTGGACTCTGTGCTGATGGAGATTTTTAAGAGCAGGTCAGACAAACACCTCTCAGGGATGGTCTAGATAATACTTAGTCCTGCCTTAGGGTGACCAGATGTCCAGATTTTATAGGGACAGTCCCGATATTTGGGGCTTTGTCTTATATAGGTGCCTATTACCCCCCACCCCCTGTCCCGATTTTTCACACTTGCGGTCTGGTCACTCTATCCTGCCTTGAGTGCAGGGGACTGGACTGGACGACCTCTCGAGGTCCTGGCGTGTCTCCGAGAGGGTCTGGGAGTCAGGGACTTTGTCGCACTAGACTCGACCGGGGCATGTGTGTATCTGCCAACCTGCCTTTCTCAGCCCCGTCCCGCCATCCTTAGCTCCAGCAAATCACTCCTTCTTGAGCGATCCATCCAGCCAGCCACGCTCAGCTGGGGTTGCCTAATCTAGCGAATCTCTGCTCCCCCAGCGGGAGTGTTATCCAGCTCTTTCTCCTCTGGGGTATTCTGAGCGCCAGGCTCCCAGACAGCGGGGGCCGGAGAGGCTGGGTGAGCCACGCTCGGCGCCCTTGGACATACGGATAAGACCAGCGGCAATGGCTGATAAGGGGCTATTCCGGGCTCTCTGTGGGGGTAGAGGAACTGCGGGTTCCCGCCGGTACCTGTCTGGGCCACGAGGGGAGGGTTATATATAGCGAGCGCCCACGTACAGATAGCGCCTGTGACAATGAACACTCAGCCCAGGGTGACCTCAGCAGGACGCCTGGGTTCTACCCCCGGGGACTGGGAAGGGAGTGGGGTCTAGTGGTTAGAGCGGGGGGGGGGCTGGAACCAGAATTCCTGCGTTCTCTCCCAGCTCTGGGAGGGAGTGGGGTCTAGGGGTTAGAGCAGGAGGGTCTGGGAACCAGGACTCC